CGGACATGGCGGGCGAGGCGGCTGCTCTAGGGCCGGCAGGGGCTCGCTCCCAGGCTTTCCCCCGGGCGTGGGGCCCGCGGGACCGGCGCCTTGGCTTCTTCAGGCTGCGAGGGAGCCCGCAGTGTCACACCCGCTAGCGGTATCCTGAAGAGGCGGGAAGGGAGGCTGAGGGCACAGCTGGCCTGGGAGGAGTTGACGGGGCAGTGTCACGTCGCCGGGGTAACCAGGAGCAGCTGGCAGCAGAGTTGCTGTTGGGGTTTGTCACTTGCTTCCTGTTAGCCTGAGTGGGGCCACTTGGGCCGAGAGCTGGCACGGGGCCCCGTGCTCGGGGCTTGTTTTGCAAGGACATAGTTTGGAAGTTAGGTTGTGCTGAAGCTAGGGAGGCTGCGGATGGAGGGCCAGCAAAACCTTTTGGGTTAAGCTGCAGGCTGTCTTGTGCTTTGTTTGCCTCAATCCCCCTTTCTCTTGAGAAGCCTGTTATGGTGGTGAGTGTCCAGCTCTGGCTGAGGAAACCTTCTCCTCTCCCACCAGGTCTCTGGGGCTGTTGGCCATGCCCCTTTAACACAATGCGCCTCTATTGCAGATGCAGATGCGATTTGACGGACTACTGGGCTTTCCTGGGGGGTTCGTGGATCGCCGTTACTGGTCCCTGGAGGACGGTCTGAATCGGGTGCTGGGCTTAGGTTTGGGCTGTGTGCGCCTGATGGAAGCTGACTATCTGTGCTCGCACCTGACAGAGGGGCCACATCGTGTGGTGGCACACTTCTACGCCAGGCAGGTGACCCTGGAGGAGCTGCACGCCGTCGAGATCAACGCGGTGCATTCCCGAGACCACGGGCTGGAGGTGGGGTGTCAGGGAGTTCTGAGATCTAGCACCCTGGGCCAGGTCTGCTGGGCTGCTATCCGTTGCAGCTGGGCGGGGGAATGCACCGCATTTAACAGCCACTTGTGGCAAGTGCTGTGCACTGCCAGGTGGTATCCCCAGTTGTAAATCTTGGCTGTTCTGCAAGGCAGTCCTGTTTCCCTGTTAGTGGTGAGGATTGTGCCTCTGACATAGGCTTGGGGAGTTTTTGGCCACTTGGATCTGTCACTTGGCTCCTTTCTGTGGTGGTCATCTGCTCTACCCCAAACTGGACTCAGAGTGTAGATAAGTTGGCAAGAGGTAGACAGAGACGCACTTCCTTTGGGGAATTTGGTGCTGCAGGATCTTTGGGAAGATAGGAGCTCTTGTGCCAGGTTACCTAATTCCTCTGATGCAGAGCACAGATAGTAAAGAATCCCAAGGCCACTCTGGATAGGACACTGCAGTCTGCCAGGGAATAGTGTGTGTACACTGTCTCCCTTTGGCATGGACCCCTGTTGAGGGTGACACAAAAATGAACAGTGGTATTCTTGTGGAATGGTAGATAGGGTGAGACATGGATCTAAAGAAGGTAGGATATCCCTGGCAGCAGTGGGGGTACTCCTGGGATGTTGGACAGTGGTAGTGGGTAGTGTGGTGGGGCTAATGGTCATGGGTGAAGCTGTGGGACTCATCCTGGAGGGCTAGGGGAGCTTGGGTGTGGTGCTGGGGGATAAGAAGTGGTGCTCAGTGGCAGGGGATGGTACATGGAGAAGTCAGGTGAAGACTAGAAGGGTTGGGTGTGCTATGGTGCTTAGGCACAGGAAGTATGGGGCATTATTTGGGTTTGAACTGAAGGCGAGAGCATTCTGTGGTTTGGGGGACAGGGTGGGGCATCTTGGGAGATGCTCTGTGGAGGTGCTAGAATGAAGGATGGGTGCTGGGCTGTGGGATGGTGGTGCTAGAAGCTACTGGGGCACTGGGGTGGTGTGCATAGGGCTAAGCTGTGGGGAAAAATGTCGCAGTGGCTTTGGTGTTGGGTGAGGGTGAGGAGTGCCGTTTGTGTTACTCAATTGTGTTGCTGTGCTGTTGCAGGTGATGGGGATGGTCCGCGTTCCCTTGTACACCCAGAAGGACCGCATGGGTGGGCTCCCAAACTTCCTGGGCAACTCCTTCGTTGGGACCGCTAAGTTCCAGCTGCTCTTTGCCTTGAAGGTCTTGAATATGGTACCAGAGGAAAAGCTGGCAGAGGCAGTGGCTGCCACACAGAAGCCAAAGAAGCCAGCGATGGAGCCTGCAGCAGCACCTGTGGCTGTGCCAGCAAACCAGCCCATAGCCAGGCCAACAAATGAGCTGGCATCTGAGCCAGCTGCTGAATCCGTGGCTGAGCCAGCAGCCGCATTGACCACTGTGTCTGTGGCTGAGCCAACGGTTGTATCTGTGGCTGAGCCAGCTGCTGAAGCTGAGCCAGTGGCAGTGCCAGTGGCTGTAGCTGTGACCATGCCTGGGCCAGCAACTGTGCTGGCTGCGGAGTCAGTGGCTGAATCAGCAGCAATGTCCATAGCTGAGCTGGGGGCTGAACCAGCGGCCAAGCGCATGGCCGAGCCAGCAGTGTTGTCCTCGATTGAATCGGCGGCAGTATCTGTGGCTGCAGCAACAAATGAGCTGGCAGCTGAGCCCATGGCTGAGTGATGCTAGCTTTGTTTGTGGTTTCATTAAACTGGGAGAGGAGATTGGAGACTGTTCTTCTAACTTTCCAAGTTGTTGCTGCCCAAGTGACTCCACCTTAGAGTTGGCTGGACAGGGAGGGATCAGATTTGCCTGAAGCAGTGGAAAAGCTGTTCTTTAAAAGCCAATACACTATACCAAGCTGTCCAGATCAATATTAACATCCCCCAACCCCCTCCCTCCTGCGGAGTCCCTGAGCTTATACAGTGGCTCTGACCCTTAGAACAATGCTTTGACTTAACAGGGACACGTTTGCTCATTTTAGGTCCCAGTTCAGGAATTTTTGTTTTTGTTTGTTTTTTAAATGAACCGAAACATGTTGCTTTTAAATTTTTCCAATAGGGTTTTTAAAGCCCCCCTGCTGCCATGCTGCAGACTTAGCCACAGCTGCATTGCACCGGACAGCAGTGAACAACAAAGCAATCCTCATTGAAAAGAGCTGCAGATGCAACACTGCCATCAACCCAGGGAGCTGCCTTCTGCTTGGTGTCTCTCAGTGCACCTAGTGCTCCCACTTGGTAATAGGGGGGTCATGGGGAGGATGGATCTCTTTCCAGCTAACATAAAAATCTTGAGTGGCTTAGCTGTGGGTCACCATGAGTGGGTACAGGAAGGGCAGGGGTGTATGGCTTTGCATATGGAGATTGTGTGGGAGCAAGAAAATGAAATAAATGGCTTTGCTGAGCCCCTTTTCAGGTGTGATCTTTCATGCAAGAAAGTAGCAGAGTAAGTGTATGTAGTGCTATACCTACTAGTGCATGTGGGCTCCGAGGTGATTTGTGCCATTCTCCTAAAGGGTGTGGGGAATGATCGTACACCCCAGTGTCTGCAGCTGGGTGGATTAGAACAGCCAGCACTCGCCCTTTGCTGAGCTGTCAGGATGGCTTTCTCTGTGCAGGTTACTGTAGCATGATGTTGTGAAGTGGCTGGTGTTACCACACTAATTAGAGCCCTCCCACCCCTCCTTGTCCCATACCCAAGCATCTCTTCTTCAGCTGATCACTAATCAAACTAAAGGTTTGGTGGGATCTCAGCATACATCTGTTTTGTATAGCTTATAGAACATTTGGGTTGGAAGGGACATCTAGTCCAATCCCCTGCTCAAAGCAGGACCATCCCCAACTAGACCATCCCAGCCAGAGCTTTGTCTAGCTGGGTCTTGCAAACCTCCAAGGATGGAGATTTTACCACCTCTCTGTGTAACTTGTTCCAGTGTCTTGCTACCCTCCTAGTGAGAAGATTCTTCCTAATATCTAACATAAATTTCCCTTGCTGCAACTTGAGACTTGTTCTTTGTTCTGTTGATCTATTATCTGCCACCATTGAGAACAGTCTAGCTCCGTCCTCATTTGAGCGCCCCCTTCAGGAAGTTGAAGCTGCTATTAGATCCCCCCTAAGTCTTCTCTTCTCTAGACTAAAGCCCAGTTTCCTCAGCCTGTCCTCAAGTAAAATGCCCCAGCCCTCTAATCATTGTTATTGCCCTCTGCTGGATTCTTTCCAATTTGTCCACATTCTTTGTGTAGTGGGGGCTCAAAACTGAACACAGTACTTTCCTTGTAGTGTTCACCTGGTTGACTAATTCAGCCTGCTTAAGGGCTGAGTTTGGGTAAGCTGCAAAAACTTAGGAGCGTTCAGGTTCCTTATACATGTTAGCTCTTTTGATTTGCTTGGCAGTTCATAGGATCATATGAAAGTAAGGTTGGAAGGGACCTCACAAGGTCTAGTCTACCCCTGCTCAAGGCAGGACCATCCCTGACCAAACCATCCCAACCCAGTGTCAGTTTAACTTGCTCTTGAAAATTTTAAAGGCTGGAGATTGGAATAGGCTACCTACAGAACTGTGCAATCTTTGACCACCCTCATAGTCTGAAAGTTCATTGTAATCTCCAGCCTAATTTTTCCCCTGCTGTAGCTTGGGGCCATTGCTCCTAGGCCCGTCATAGAATCACAGAAGTAGAGTTGGAAGGGACCTTGAAGATCTTCAAGTCCGACCCCCTGCCTGGGCAGGAGAGAAAACCGGGCTTATATGACTCCAGCTAGGTAGGCATCCAGCCTCTTCTTAGAGACCCCCAGGGTAGAAGCCGGCACCACTTCCCTTGGAAGTTGGTTCCAGATCCTAGCCGTCCTAACTGTGAAGTAGTTCTTACAGATGTCTAATCTAAACCTACTCTCCAACATCGTGTGGCCGTTATTCCTTGTTATGCCAGGGGGCACCTACAACCAGAGAAAATCCATCTCCGTCCTTTATAGAATCACCCTTTAGGTATTGGGAGATTTATCAAGTCCCTTTTAGTCTTCTCTTCTTCAGAATAAGTAACCCTAGTTCCTTCACCTTTTCCTCAGAAGTGGACCCTAATCATTTTTGCTGTTCTGTGATGGACTTTCTAATCTGTCCACATTTTTTTTGAAGCGTGGGGCCCCAAACAACACAATACTTCAGGTGAGGTTTCACCAGTGATGAATAGTGGAAAAATCACTTCCCTTGATTTGCAGGCAACTGTCCTGTTGATACAACTCCTGCTGTTGGCTTTTTTGCAACAAGAGCATACTTTTGGTTTATATTCTGCTAATAGTCTGCTGTACCCCCCACATCCTTTCTGCAGTACTGCAACCTAGCCAATCATTCCCCAGTTTATTTGTTCATGAAGTTATTGTATCCCAAGTGCAGGACTTTGCACTTGTCGTTGTTGAATCTCACCTGATTGTGGACTGTTTCTTCAGTCTGTTCAGGTCATTCTGGATCCTAGCCCTGCTGTCCATGGTGTCTGCAATTCTACCCAACTTCATGTTGTCAGCAAATTTGCTAAACAGGCACTCAATCCCATCATCAAAAACACAAAAATATTAATACTAGACCCAGGACAGGCCCCTGAGGAACCCCACTTGATGCCCCCTCTGAGCTAGACATCGAGCCATTAATGATTACATGTTGACTATGATGAACAGTTATGCATCTACCTTACAACACTTTTGTCTAGTTTGATTTTCCTTATCTTGTTAATCAGAATGTCATGAGAGACTTTCAAAATACCTTGACTTCAGCAAGGCTATCGCATCCATGGCTCTTCCCTACATGTGCTCCCCACCCACAGAGCCTGTCACCTTCCCATAAAAGGAACTCAGGTATTCAGACATGACTTGCTTTTGTGAATCCGTGATGGCTGTCCCAGATCCCCTTGTTCTCCTTTAGGTGCTTCACAGGGGATTCCTTGAAGGCCTGCTCCATTATCTTTCCAGGTAATGAGGTCAGGCTGAATAGTCCAAGTACCTGGATCTTCCTCTTTCCCTTTCTTAAAGATGGGTGCCATGTTTGCCATTTTCCAGTTATCTGGGACCTCACCCAACCTCTATGAGTCCTCAGAGAGGATTACTGATAGTGCTGACATTATCTCAGCCAGTTCTTTCAGTAACCTAAGATGCATCCCATCTATCCCTGTAAACTTGAAAGCACCAGTTTCTCTAAGTGAGCTTTAACCTGTTCTGCCTTCCTTCCCTGTCTTTGCTGCCAGCTGCACTCATCATCTGGTAGCTGCCCTGTTTGTGAAAAGTGAAGTAAAAAATAGGGGTTCACTGATAAAGATTTTCTTGGCTGATACTGATAGCTGATTATTAACCAACCATGTTGGCTGATGCCTATCTGATAATTGATGTAGTTTAAAATGCAAGGCATCTTAAAGTACTGATGAATTTTTGTTGTTGTTGCATGCTCCAGCAGCCTCCTGCATCATGTGTATCAGAGTCCCGGCACTTAAAAATGGCAGCAGGGGCTCTTGACCTAAAGCTTATTCAATGAGCTTCAGTTCAAGTGCCACCACCACCATTTTAAAGCGTGGGGATGCTTTAAGTGGAGCACAGCTGAGTGGTGTGAGGGCTAGGTGGGCTGCGTGCTGTGGGCTTGGGGCTCTCTGCACTGTTGCCTTTGTCTCATGAACCCCATGCCACCAGTATGCCCCCTGCCTGCTCAGCAGTGGGAGATGCAACTCGCCACCCCCAGCGCTGCCACGTGGGCAGGGGGTGTGCGGCCAGTTTGGGGCTCTTGAGGAAAAGGCAGCAGAGAGCCGTGAGCCCACAGTGAGCAGCCTGCATCTCCCCACGCACAAATCGGGGGGGCACATTCCTTCCCATGCCTACCCCAGCAGGTGCACACAGTGGTGGGGAGATGCCTCCCCCCACAAGTGAGCTGTCCGTGGCTCCATCCTGCTCCTTGCCCTGGCCTTGTGTCCCATGCATTGCTCTGGGTTGCCCCGGCTCCACTCCCTCCCTCACCTTGGGAGTCTTGATCTACCCCCTCCTCCATGCCACTTCCCTCCATAGACTTACCTGGAGGGAGCTGGTCTCCATGCTGCCTGGCTGGTTTTTTGCCACGTGAATGTGTGCAGCTGCATGCATGCACATGATGCCCCGTGTCTTGCTTCTGGTTGCCTGCAAGGTAAAACCTACCGTTTCCTGAGGGAACTCAGGCATTTGGGGGCCCTGGCCCCATAGGGGAGAGGGAACCCAGGTGTCCAGGGTTCTGGCCAGAAGGCATAATTATTGGTAAATATTACCAGCTACATTGGTTTAAAAAAAAAAAATCTGATGGCCGATAATGCCATTTCCCCTCTTATCAGTGCCAATCCAATAGGCAACTGATATATTGGTGCACTGCTAGTAAAAATGCATTATATGCTTCAGCCTTCTTTGAATCATCCACATTCAGTAAGGGACTTCTGGTTCTCTGGTCTTTCTCAACATACTTAAAGAATCCCTTTTCATTGCCTTTTGATTAACCTGAGGCTGGCAATTTCTCTTAGTACCCTCAGAGAGATTCTTCTCCCCTTTGCTTGAGCACTGTGTACCAAGGACTAGCACTTAAGGCAGGGGTGTCAAAATCATCTGGCCCTGTGGGCCAGGTGAGTGGCATGGGGCTGGTCCACAAGCCAGATCATGCTCATGGCCCCTTTCCTCCCAGCATACTGCTGTTCCAGCTACTCCTGACAGTCTGGGACCTGCATTATATGCAGCAGGGATCCCGGAGTGGCCAGAACAGGCAATTCATTTAGTGTGGTCTGGCTGGAGTTGCATCTGTGTTGCATGTGGCAAATACTGGCCAATGGCCATTATTTTTTTAAAACTTGTGCAGATTGGGAGAGGTCTGAAACAATTGGAAAAGGGCAAATCAATGCCCATCTTTAAGAAAAGGAAGGAGGAGGATTCAGGGAACTACAAACCAGTCAGACTCACCTCAGTCCCTGGAAAAATCATGGATCAGGTCTTCAAGGAATCCATTTCCAATCACTTGGAGGGGAAGAAAGTGATTGGTATCAGTCAGCATGGATTCACTAAGGGCAGGTCATGCCTGACCAACGTGATTGCCTTCTATGATGAGACAATTGGCTCTGTGGATGTGGGGACACTGGTGGATGTGATGCACTTTGACTTTGGCAAGGCTTTTGATACTGTCTCCCACAACATTTGCATAAGCAAGCTAAGGAAATGGGCTCAATGAACGGACTGTAAGGTGGATAGAAAACGATGGAGCATCAGGCTCAGAGTAGTAATCAACGGCTTGATGTCTAATGGGTAGCTAGTATCTAGTGGAGTGCCCCAGGGGTTGGTCCTTGGGCTGGTTTTGTTCGATATCTTCATCAATGAGCTGGAAGATGGGAAGGAGTGAACCCTCATCAAGTTAGCAGATGACATCA